TGAATAATGGTGCCCCGTATCCTTGATCATATTGCTATCATGGTAGTAATTTTCCACTGCCCTCTTCCAGCCATTTTATGTTAATTATTTAGAATCGTGTGGATTCATCCATCTACTTAAAGTACTGTTGCCATTGGTGCTTTCATTATTACAGAGCCTCTGGACACCCACAGTTTAATTCATAATACTGCTTTTCAAAAAGACAGTAATCAATTTGAGATGTTTCCTTCATGAAACAAGGCCACAGAGGATCTAGTTTCTCTCAATCCAAAGGAGACTTCTCTTGTAGGGATTTTAGCCGCCCAACTTGGATATATGGAGTTACGGATAGTTCACTCCCACCAGTGCTATGAGTTAAAGCATTGGATTAGTTTGAACTTAACAAAAACACTGGGTGCTTCTTCCTCAGACGATAACACTGGCAGATGTGGCTATAACCTTTGAAGGATAGGAATGGACAGGATGGAAGGGGGTGGTGAGGAAATGTGTGTGAGTCCATTAATGAACGTCATCGATTGTTAAGACAGGAACTACAAAGGATCAAAGCCACTGATATTCTTTGCCCTCATGTCCCCTGCCCCTGAAATTAGTGGCAAGATTTCTGATTATCTTTCCTGTTCAGCTTATTAAAGTTGGAAACTATGCCTGAGATGAACTGCTAGAGCCCCACAATATTGGTAGGCTTTCCTATCCCCATAAGACCTCCTAAATCTTTCAAGATTTGTTGAATTTAGTGTCCAGTTTCCCATCACTAGTTGGCCAGTGAGTTCAGTACTCAGGACTTCAAAAGCTTTAATAATATCAACAATGCACTTGTGATATGAAAGAAACATTGGCTAGTTATTTTATAATTAGCATCATTCAGCCACTTTATTTTACTGAATAGTATTTTCCAGCTGTTTTTTTTTTTTTAATGGTGGCAGATTCAGGATCTCTGTATTCTAGAGTCAAAGAAAGATAAGTGTACTCACCCCTATTATTTTTTTCCTCCTAGAAATAGAAAACCCACATAAGGTTTTATCTATGTACAACAAATAAATGTAAAGCAATGTATATACCGTGGGAGAGTTGGTATTTAATCTCCTCACTAGCTAGTATTACGTCATGCACCAGCTTTAAAAAAAAAAAGTTAAAATTAAATTGCAAAATTAATTTCTAAGTTTTATAAACTTTTTAATAGAAAATGCTTAGCGACTTGCTAAACTTGCTAGGTGAAACTGTCTACAAATTACATGTTAGGTTTAATGAGACTTTCCCGTCTATGCTAGAAAGGATGAATTTCATAGTCCGAAAGACTCTGTTTCTGTATCTCCTCTCTCCAAAGAATGTACCAGAAGTAAATGGAACCTGCTCCAATTCTCAGTGTAGGAACTGAAAAATGCTCTATGTTCTGTACAAACTAGGGAGACCGACTATTCCAGTTCCCCCTGGATTTCCCAGATTTGGGCACTGATAGTCCCAAGTACCCAAAAACAGTCAGCCCTGGGCACATGAAAATAGTTGATTGCCCTAATTCAGGTGCCTCTCAGGAAACTTTGTGGGTGGAGAACCAGACAGATCATTGGAGAACCAGACAGATCATTGTTAAGTACTTAACTAAAAAAAAAAAACAAAAAAACATATTGCAGGTCTTCTTCATTTCCATTCAATTCAGCATCGGTATTTTCCTCCTTTCTCTAGTCCCTGTTGTCTAATTCTCTGAGCAACTGGGTGAGCTGGAGGCCTGGTTTTCACTTTTCTTCTTGATAATGCTTTAATATTTCATGTGCCTGTACGAGCTTATCCAGAAAAGGGACCTACTATGCCTGGTTTTCCAATGGTTTGTTTTGACTCCTGTGCTCACTGTGTATTTACTTTAGCAGCCACGTTATTTTTGCCCACTTCATCTAAAGAAAATATCCCATCACAGTTTATCAGAGGCATTTGCCATGGCAGAGCTTCAAAAGCTTGGTGGTACCCTATCTCTGGCACTCATCAAGGGCATGGTATCATTGTGTGAGTCCCTCTTCACTGCCTGTGACTACTGTCCCATTACCCACACCCTCTTCTGCTGATGAGATAACTCTCTGAATCCATATCCCACATTGGAGGCCTCACATATTGCACAGTAAGGAACTAATTAGACTTGAGCCATTATCATTTTTGAAAAATTGGCAAAGCCGGTTTGCATAATTCATGGGGCTGCTTCTCTTTGAATTTCATGTATAATATTTTAAAAATTTTATGCCCTTATACTCACTTTCTAACACTCTGGTCTAATCAGCTGTGTTATTTCCTCAACGGTTGAAAAGAAAAATTGTCACAGATATACAGGCTGTGAAATTCTTCTTAGTTGAAAATAAGCTGCATATGTCAGTATTCATTCAGAAGCTGAAATTTGCTTTCCTCTGTGCTTTTGAAAGCATAAAAGCAGTTTCAAATCATCTTCCATCATATAGCTGTCTGTTTAGCAGGTGCAAAAGCATCGTTTCCTAGAAATGACTGAGGCTTGAGCAAACAGCAGCGTGCTGATGGATACACATTTTGTCCACTGGCAAAGAGGAGTACTTTGTTAAAATTACTTGTAATAAAGTGTATACTTAATTGTATCTGCAGCATGACTGTGTAGCCTGTGGTACAGCCAAGCGGACATAAACCTGATTCAAATAATACCCTTTCGTGGGGGCTGCTTACCTGGTTTTGCTCTCTCTGGCCTTTGTTGTCCTGACTGTGACAGTCAGGACCCTCAGTTAAGGTGTCCCTGGAGCTTCTTTAACTTGGGACTCGATGAAAGGAACAGTTGAGTTTTTGAGACCACACCTTGTTGAGAACGCACATTATAGAATGAGACCTATGTAAGTAACTCAATTAACATGAATGAAGTTACGTAAACAGCAGCCTCCACACACACACGATTTAGAAAACCGTGTTAGCCTGGAGTGGCTGGCAGAGTGGGCCTTTGTTCCAGGGCTGCCCAGTTTCAACTTTCTTCTCCCCGTGCCTTCCATCCGAGTCTGTGCACACTCTTTGGGGTAAGCCTGTTCTTGTCCCACTCAAGTTAGTGCTGCAAAGCTGTCGGAGAATGCAAGTTCCTATCAGAGCAGTATGGATACTTCTCAGATTTGACATTTGATGGGTTACATTAATGTGGGGAAGGGGCTTTTGATTGCAAGAGGCAGAAATTTCTTTGAGTTACTTTATTGGAACCAGGGATTTATTATATGGATATATGTTGACTGACACGGTAGGAATAAGCTGTTTTTCCATTCTGTCATGAGCCACATAGTCTCTTTCTTCTGTTGCTTCTTCTCTGTTTTATTCTCTTCCCTCTACAGCTAGAATTCTTTGGTTTACTCATAATTTCCCCTCCCTTATAAATTCAGCTTTCACATGTGGCTCTGGGCCTCCTTCTAAATTCAGAACTTGAAGCTGCAGCTCAGAACATTAACGGTCTCTATATTGTTCTAAATTAAAGTCCCAGTGTGACTTGGAGTATTAAGGAATTTAATATGTGGCTTTCCCACTAGAAGAGGGGAACTTCTTTAAGCAGAGCTATGATGTCTGTTTTCTTGGCTGCTGTATACTTACAATACCTAGCACAATATAGGTCCTGAGTAAATATTTGATGAATAAATAAAATATACAAAAAAAAAAAAAACCCACCTGAAATCTACTAATAAGGAGGAAAATCTCTACATGAGTTGAACTGGCTGAGTCTTCTCAAACAGCAGTCAGTTTGGACTGAAGTCACCTTATTTTTTGCCTAGTTGCTACACATTTCTCACTGCACCAAAGACTTGCAAACTGCTTTGCAAATTAGGGTCCAAATATTCAACAGAGATCAGTGTGATGAAAACATCCCAATACTAAATGTTGGGAGATTGTTTCCATGGTGCCTTCTGCTTAAGGGAAGCCTCACACAGTTGAGAGAGAGTCGGCTGACCTCCCACCACCTCATAGTCGTCCAATTTCCGTGAGCCTACAGTCTAGCTGCCGTATCAGTGCTGATGGCAGTAACCCTGTATTTGATTCATTAGTGAAAGGCTCTTATCTGCCTTCGGCAGATGAGCTTGTGAAAGCAGGCAGGTAGTGGTGGAGATTTTGCGAGCCGGAAGGTGTGAATGCAGCAGCTGAAACGTGGGGGTGTGGTTTCACTTAGCTGTGGAACAGCTTTTCTCTTTATGAGGTGCCATGGGTTTCTGACTGTCTCACCAGGGAATCTGCGTCCGGGGTAAATCCTGTGTGCGTTCCCAGCCACACTGCAGGGGCACTGAAGTGCCACTTTGCTCCCCTGGGGTGGAAGAACACTTCCTGATTACAGGCCAGATGTTGGACAAAGTCCTTCCTGACAGAAACATGGATACCAAATACTTCTTGTGTGACACCCCTTCCCTCCCACAATCAAATATTCCTGGTCCTTATTCTTTTTTAACCATTTCACACAATCATCTTTCGGTAGCAGAAACCACTGTAATGGGCGTTTCTAGTATTCATCCTGAATCTTCTTTCCATATTGTTTTATCATGAGACGGATAACATGTTCACAAACACCCTGAAAAGTACCTTAATAAAGGTTGTTCCCTTCAACATAGTTATTTTGGGAGGTGAAATGGTTATTCCCATGATATGGTCGTTGCCCAAAATATTTTTAAAACGCCTCTTTTAGTGCCATTAATATTCTGAAATAAGTATAATTGAGTTCTATAGGAATATATGGATAAATATGAATATGTTTTTGCTATAACACTATTACAGTCACGTCATCTTTTTCTTCTAAATAATGAAAGATCTAAATATTTAATGAGCACTCCCGTTTTTGTGACCATGTCCAAATTTGCGCTTGGTTAACTGTGTAGCTCCTCACTGGACTTTAACTCTAGAAAGTGCCAGCGTAGCCTCTCAAATCTGGTATAGGCCAGTAGATGTTTTCGTGATGCTATTATCTGCATTAAGTGGAATTTTAGGTTTCATTGCTTAGAACCTGAAGTATAAGCAAAATGGATTTGCCTTGTCACCTACAGGAAATGTTTGATGTTATATTGGATGAAAATCAGCTGGAGGATGCATGTGAACATCTGGGAGAGTACCTCGAAGCATACTGGCGTGCTACCCACACAACCAGTAGCACCCCCATGACCCCCCTGCTCGGAAGGAATTTGGGCTCAACTGCACTCTCACCATATCCCACGGCAATTTCCGGGTTACAGGTACTGCCACTTTCCACTCATGCTTTTACAGTCTTACACTGGAGATTCTGCAGAGAACTTAATTGGGATGAAGACTGGGATTATCCTTAATCTGAAGAGGGAAACGGATGTGGGCATTATCTTAAAAAACAAATCCAAACTTCTCTGTGATCTACCATAGGCAGAGTTCCCCAGAGAGGCACTGTCCATAGAACTTTGCTCTGAGTTAACATGTATGCCTTTTGCTTAGACAAACTAATCCCTCCTGTGTCTAAACCTTGCCAGGACGCTTCTTACCTACTCAGTACAACTGTCCATTACTTCTCCAGGTCACTTCTTAAAGATGATACGTTGGTGGCAATGTAAGGTACCATGGCAAGCTAAGTAAGATATTTTGGGACAGATGGACCTTTTGACTGCCCTTAACTAATCGTGCCCCATAGGGCCTGTCCCCTATCTTCCTCAACACAGAATGTGCACATGAGTAGAGTCACTCTGTTTGGAAAGAGTGACAGATTCCTGAGTTTTCTTGGGGGGTGGGGGGGTGTGGACCCATCTTGGTCAGTGGCTATGGTAGGTGTCCTTTAGGGAAGCTGGGGACAGATGCAGCTCTTCTGCTGTTCTAGTGCTGCACTCGGCTAGATGTGAGGAGCCCGAGGCATTAGGATACAAAGTGAATTTTGCCTTTTGACATCAATTATTATTTATCATTTATCAAGAAGCTGCTGGAGTGGAGCCCAACCCACAGCTGGCTGAGGTACATCTAGCCATTTGAGCTCTCTTGTATCATGACTAGTTTTATAATAATGGGTTATAATGATAATCATAATTATAGACCATGTAAAGTTAAGTCTGAGAGGAAGGGCCCTCTCTGAAATGCTGTATTATAACTGTATTACTCTCCTACAAAACTTCATCTTTATAAGCAGAAAACTGCCCTATAAATGAATAGTTTTTGAGGCTGGAAAAGGAACCTGGGAAATGTACTAGTGCAATGCACATATATATGTATGCGCCAGGACTGTTTCTTGCCTGGTTTCACTGCCCGTGTGCTGATCCGGCATATCCACTGACTAGTTTGGGTCGGATCTAAATTGTATACTGTGGGGTGAGAAATGGATGCATTAAGCAATATGCTTCTATAATGTAAGGAGAAGTGAAATGTACTTTATTTATGAATATAACACTCTGGACTCTAAGACTCTAAGACATCTGCCTAGAGTGGACATTTCACTTGAGTTAATGTGCCCTTTATTCAGGAGCCTCTTCTTTCTATTAGTTACCAAGGGTATTCAATTGTCAGCCTCCTGGCCGGGGTGAAAGACACAGGCTCTGCCTATTGAATGATTTTCCCACCACATGAAGATGAGTGTCCCTTAGAGGAAATGTATCTAGGTCCTTGGTTTCATCAGGATCCTGTTTCTTTTTTTTTTTTTTTTTTTAATATTTTATTTATTTCTAGGAGAGAGAGAGAGAGAGACAGCGTCAACAGGGGAGGGTCAGAGAGAGAGGGAGTCACAGACTGAAACAGGCTCCAGGCTCTGAGCTGGCAGTCAGCACAGAGCCCGACGCGGGGCTCAAACCCACGAACCGTGAGATCATGACCTAAGCGAAAGTCGGACGCTTAACTGACTAAGCCACCCAGGCGCCCCAGGATCCTGTTTCTTAACAGAGGTGACCTACCTAAGTAGACAGGCACAGCTATGATACATGTTTTCCCATGATTTAAAGAGAAATGTTGAATAACATTTTCTGAGCCATCAAGTAAGTGTCTGAAGATACTGAATGGTATTAGAGGAATTTAGTTTATATCTGAAGATAATTTTTGCAGGACATTTCAGTTGAGGAAGCAAGAAGTGCAAATATCAGTTAGCCAGCTCCTTATGATTATTGTACACTCCTTTGGAAAGAATATTGCTGAGAGACTTAATATTTATGTATGATGAAGAAACAAACACATTATTTTATGGGCAGCACGAATCATAATTTCATGAAAATATTTTCTAGGGTACAAGGAACATTCAGCTAGATAAAGGTGAAATGTGTGACTTTAGGAGAAGAAAGATTTTATCAGTTCAAGAGAGAAAATAGCAGATGCTATTCTGAACTTTAACTTATTTCCCGATAGGAAAATAATCCTCAGTTTTGCAGTAGAAGTGGAGTTATTGAGTCTTCCTAGATATAATAAGTTCCATTCAGCAATTAACTTCCAATTCTCTACTTTTAATAGGCAGCATAGTCATGTAGCATCATGTAGTTAAATTCATAAACTATCAGCATTTTAGTGTCTTTGCAATGTTGTGTCCCAAATGAAATAGACCAGATCATTTCAGCAGACCATTTGTGCATCAAAATGCCTTATGAAGCCTGATATTCAGAATTTTATTGTACATATCCTACTGTTGTACATATATTTAAATATAAATATGAATGAGATGAATGAGGCTGACATGATTTAATCACTGAACTATCTGGTATTTATATAGAGTCAGCGTATGAGGCACAGCAACCACTCCACGGAGAACTCTCCAATTGAAAGACGAAGTCTAATGACCTCTGATGAAAATTATCACAATGAAAGGGCTCGGAAGAGTAGGAACCGCTTGTCTTCCAGTTCCCAGCACAGCCGAGATCATTACCCTCTTGTGGAAGAAGATTACCCTGACTCATACCAGGACACTTACAAACCCCATAGGAACCGAGGATCGCCTGGGGGATATAGCCATGACTCCCGACATAGGCTTTGAGTCTGCGGAAGCAAACAAAAAATTCATCTGTTGACAATTTGCCATAGCACTGCTAGGATAAACCAATCATCTTAACTTGGCAAGTACAGCACAGTGTTAACTGTGCTTGTGGGCCGCTGTCATTTGATGCTAGGTAAGGGGCAAAAAAAAAAAAAAAGTACATTATGCCCTTAAGTCTAGATGGTTATTAGATGCCCAGTCATATAGATATTTTTAAGCTCGGCATTTACATAACAGTACCTTTTGTTTTCTTCATTAGATTTAGACACATCGATTTGTAATTTAGGGTACTTATCAAGGCACATATAAAATAATTTCCCATGCTGGAAATTCCAAATGACCAGTTCCAGTTGGAACCAATTTATAATCCAATTCCTGTTGGAATTTGGGTGAATCGACTAGAAAGTCTACTTGAGCATGTTGTAGTCAATTTAAAAATCTGAAAAAAAAAAACAACCAAAAACCTAATTAATAAGAAAATCAAAATTCCAAAAGAAGCAAAATCCAGGTATGGTATGTATTTGATGGAAGCTAAATTTACATTTAAAGTCGGAATGTATAAACATTTTAATATATGTTAATGTTGCTGGAATGGCTTTTCAGACTTACCAAAAGTATTGACAGTGCCAAAAAAAAAAAAAGGTCTCCAATTAATGCAGAAATTATTCACTCTCCTCAGATTTTAATATTTTTGTTTCTTTCCTGGCACAGCTGTTGTATTCAAAGTGTTTTGCTTTTTGTTTAGTCACTACTGTTAAGCTTGTTTGAAGTTGGCAAAAAAAAAAAAACCCACAAAAGAACAAAAAACACCTCAAAATTTCTTTAGCAGTGAGAGAGAATAACATAAAGAAGCCCAATCATAGCTGGTCATGGGAAATGGAAAAAGGGGTGTTGTCTCCCCTTTACTCAATCTGAGTACAACTACATACACAACAACATGCAGGAATCTGAAGTCACACAGTAAGGATGGGCACAGAGCCTCCTGAGTGCGAAGCTAAACATCTCCAGATGGGAACTCATCTGTCCAACTAACCACAAACACGGGGCCCTTATTTCCTGCCAGCACAGTTGCATATCTTTCCATTGCTTCATTGCTTCATTCAGTCTCTGTCTTTCAATCTGTGAATGTTCTAGCCCTCCCCCAAATTCTTTATAATCTTGCTAAGAACTTTTATATGGAAGCATTCAATTTTGAGATCGAAAACTGTGTTTATACAAAATGATGAAATGAAAAATGTGAAAACAAAAATGATGAACTTAAAGCCTTGCAATATAAAGCAAACTCACGGATTTGAAGTATATCTGTTCACTAAAATTATAGCAATTTTGTTGACAAGAATTATAAAGAATTTGGAGATTGAGCTGCCTTATTTCTAATGAACACTCCTCTTCACCTATTAAGTCTTCACAATTTTTCCAGTGGTTGTAATTACAAAATTAGTGACCTTCTGTCTTATATTATCAAGGAAGCCTTAGATTCACTATGATCCAAGGAATTATTGAAAATTGACCCTTTTATACAGTATACAAATATCTTTCAGAAGAGCCTCTTGTTTCTAAAAGTCCACAATGCATGCATTTTTCTAAAGCCCCCGGAGGACCAGGCATAAAAATCCCTTTCTAACTGGTACATGTCATGAAGCCTGCATTTTGAAAACAGTAATCATTGATTTCTATTACCTTATTTTCCTCCCAAGCTTTTCAATATTTAGGCTTTCAAAGCATGCACCAGTTTAATAATTTTCCTGATCATGAAAATAAGTTCCAAATTCTTGATTAGTTATATATCTCTTCATACCCGTGGTGACCTCCCACATTCGCTCCCCTCCTGTTCACCGTGCATACTCCATTATGAACCTGTTTTGCTGGTGATGAGGATGCCTATAACTATGTAGGTTATTTCACATATTTGATACAACTTAAAATATGAGCTCAGTAAATTCTAAAAGTTACCATGTAAGATTGGCTCGTGAGGTTCTTTTGTCATCTAATGAAGCTTACAGAACTTTCAGTTAAGACATTTAAAAGAGCTGTATCCATTAGGCACTTTAATAAACATATAACCTGCCATTACTGAATACTTCGTTAGAGCACAGAAGAGCATTTTCCAGCAAATGAAAATATATTTATTACATGTACAGCACATATTGCATGAGAAAAAGAACATTAGCCAAAACATTTTTCTATATGCTCTGCTGGTTTCTTGTTTGTGCGCATTAAAGTATTTAATTGCAAAGAGTGCATCAAGGTGATAAATTTAGACTAGACAGCTGTTCAGCTTTTTCTGTAGTAGCATTAGCAATCCGGTCATTTAACTACTTTAAGATATTTACATTTTATGGCAGGTAGCTGCAACAGCATTTACATATATTTCCTAGTCAGCAAGATTACCATATTCTTTCACCTTTTAAAAATCACTTGTTTTTAACAGCCTCTCAAAGCCTTGTTTCTAAGTCTTCCATGTCATGCTGATAAAGAGAGGGGCCCATTCAATATCTGTGCACAAAACCAACCTGTCATTTACCATCAAGTGTCTGTACCTGTTTTGCTTTGCATTCTTAATCAAAAGCTAACAATCTTGGAAAGGGTATAATGTATATTTTCTTGATGGATATCTTCAAATTTTTACTTTGGTTCAGCATATTCTTTTCCATTTCTTTTGTAATTAATAGGTTTATCTTCTCCAAATGAAAAAGAAATATGCATTTTCTTTTTTTTAAGTGTAGAGTTTACTGTGTAAATGATACTTAAGTACACATGTATACTAAATGAAAGTTTTATTTTTGCCAAGCATATCAAGCACCTTTGAAAAATACATATTTCTCAAATACTTTGTTTTTAACTGACTTCATTTCAAAAGAGCAAATGATAAGCAGGAGGAACAAGTCTTACAATGTTTTGAGGCTATTTTAACTTGTAGTATAAATCACATATTCTGTAACTTCAGTATATATAATATCAGAATATGTAAGTTACATATTCTGTAATTTCAGTCTGCAAACATGTGACATTGTAGACACCTGTGACAATGTGGAAATGTAGTTCTGGAAAAAAGGGAACGCAATTTGTCAATCCTGATGTTAATTCTCAAGGCTATAATGTAACTCCAATATTATAATCAACAATGTTATCTTGTTTACGCCAATATTTAAAGCAACACTTGGAAATGTTTATAAATGACTGATTATTCTCTCTTTATACAGTTCTATTGGAAAGAAAATTGAAATTAACAATTTAGACTGATAGTCTTTCCTAATAAGAGAGTCTTAATTATGTGATGATATGTCATTGCACTTAGTCCTTAAGGAAATGAAATTTTTTTAATATAACAAATTCTAAGAAAATTATTTGTTCCCTTTGAGTAATTTGTTAATTACTTTAATTATTATTGTTGTTGTTTGCAAAATGTATTTTTGGAATGTTAACCTCTTTTCATACCTGCATACTTGAACTTGTCTTTTGTGTGGGGGCCTTAAAATTCATACTAGGAAGCTAGGTCAGTGAAAGGGAGGGAGAGAAGGAAATTATGCCAAAAGGTGGTTTGCAAATTTAAACTCTGAATGAACATATCATAAAATGTTGTTGAGACCCAGGATGTCAGTTAAGAATGTTTCTAGGCAACTTTAATTTGCATGCTAGTGTATGTTTTCAGTTATACAATTTTACTTTGATATTTGCTAAAAAATAAAAATGATGTAATGCCACTATAGAAGTTGCCCTGTATATTAATATTTATACTACCTCTTCTCTAGAGAAGACAATCTGTCTTTAAAGAGAAAAACACTTTTCAATAAGTAGTGATCAAATTTGTCACTCTTAACTGCTGACCCAGCTGCAAAACTAAATGCATAAATTCTTAAAATATACTTTCCCTTTAAATTTTAAACTGTATCCCAAATACTCTTGTCACCCTTCATTTCTTCCATGTTAGTGAAGTTTTCTTTGAATTGGTTCACAGTTTACCCACACACAGGTTAATTTAAGATATCGGTCATCATAGGGAGCAAAACAAACTGCAAGGGAATTGCCATTGTGTGCAATTTGTTATAATATCTAGCTCTAAGCCTGCAAGGATAGATTCAGAGGCTTGAAATTTATGTGCAGCTGGTTTGAATATTCAAATTTTGTTGATCCTTAATGTCTCCCGTGGACAGCCATTTACTAGGTGAACGTATGCATTATCTTGGACTCCCATGTCATTGGAGCAAATTCCGTACAAATATTTTAAATTAATGGGAATGTACCTTATTTCTTTTATATTTCTGTCTTTGTGTTTCATGACAGTGTTGCCTATTGTTTTCTTTTTAATTATATAAAACTCATCTTTGGATGACTGTATGAATGAAAACATAGCAGATTATGTAATAAAATTTGTTTTATTAGTTCCTCATATCTTTAAATATTCTTAATACTTTGTTACTAAGTTACTTACTCAAACTGTGTCTATAGGACAAAGAACAGGCCTCCTCTTTTCAATGATAATTATGATCAAACCAGTCAATAAGATAGTTGTCTGCAGACAATAAGGATAACTTTTTTGTTGTTGACTTAAGGAGTCAAGTTAGTCAAAATAGTGAAACTGGTTCATATGGGCAGAGAGTTACAGCATTCAAAAATCACTTTTTAAAGATTTCTTCTTTTATTAAAATGAACTTTCTCCAGTGAAATACATCCTCTTACAGCAACTATCTTTATCTACTTGTGGATCGTTTAATCCCAAATGCTTCCTGTAATTGAGGGACAATATAAGAAAACTAGAAAATATCTCATCAGATACTCTTGAACAAGGGCTGTAACTTCCGTGTACCATGAAAAGCATTTAAGTAAGAGTGAATAACAAGACTGTTGGAGAGTCACGGTTACATACGAAACTTTCTTTGTTTCTTGTGATGTATGTAAAGTGTTTGCCGAAACATGGTAGAAGATGTTACCGATGAATTTAGAATGGTGTGGGGAGTGCACTAATGCATCCTCTTTGAAAATCAGAAGGAGTTAAAATGTGAACTATGGGAGAACCCAAAGTGGCTGGCCTCTAGCTTTTCAATACTTCATAAGTGTTCTTATGTTCTGAACACTCAAATTTCTTAACAAATGGCTATGTCTATATTTATGTAAGGGCCACTCTTGCCCTACTTGC